CCGGGCGCGTGGCTATGGGGGGGCCCCACCCCTGGGCATGCAGCTATGGGGGGGGGCCGCCCCCGGGCGCGCAAGTGTCCCTGCCCCCTGGCGCCCGGCAGGCGAACGGCCACGACCCCTGGCGCCCGACAACCTCAAAAGGTTGGGGACCACTGAACTATAGGAACCAAAGGGTAGGAATAAATGGTCAGTTTTCAGAATGGAAGGAGATAAATTGTTGTGTCCCCAGGGGTCTGTTCTGGGACCAATCCTAGTTGACATAGAATCTTAGGGTACGTCTTAGGATGAGGTATACCTGGGTGATCGACAAATACCTTTGATGTCGGCACCCGCGCGTCCAGACTATCCCGCTTGTCGGCTCAGCGCGGCAGCCTTGTAAATTTAAATGAAGCGGTGATTATTTAAATCGCCGCTTCATTTTCCTATGTCTGGTAGACTAATCTACATGCCTCTGGCGACAGAGGCATGTAGTCTAGACGTACCCATAGAATACTAGAATTGGAAGGGACTTTGAAAGGTCATCAAGACCTGTCCCCTGCACCCATAGCAGGACCAAGCCCCATCTAAAATATCTATGAGGGATGATTGTCTAACCTCTTCAAAATTTCCAGTGAGGGAAATTCTACAACCTCCCTAGACAATTTATTTCAGAGTTTAACCACCCTGACAGTAAGGAAGTTCTTATTAAATTATCTGGAAAAAGGATAAACTGCGAGGTGACAAAATTTGCAGATGATACAAAACTATTCAAGATAGTTAAATCTCAAGCAGACTGCAAAGAGGTACAAAAAGATCTCACAAAACTGGGTGACTGTGCAACAAAATGGCAGATGAAATTCAATGTTGATAAATGCAAAGTAATGCACATCGGAAAACAGAATCCCAACTATATATTAGGGATGTAAAAGGTTAACTGGGTAATGGGTGAGGCTTACTGGTTCCAGTTAACTGATAGGGGCTGGAGCTCCAGTCCCCCAGAGCCCACCCAAGGAGCCCCTGTCCATAGCAGGCCCAGCCACCCACCTCAAGTTACATGCTGGCTTCCTGGGAGCGGGGCTGGGAGAGACTGCCAGCCCCACACCCAGGAGCCAGCTATAGAGCCCACAGTGTAGCCTTCCCAGCCCTTGCCAGCGCCGCTCCCAGGGAGGCTTTGCTGCAGAGCCTGCAGCCTGCAGAACTGTGTAACCGCTATGATTTTAGTGGTTACACAGATACATTTTTAAATTCATTTTTACATCCTGCTATATATAGACAATGATGGGTTCTAAATTAGCGGTTGTGACTCGAGAAAAATCTTGGAATCATTGTGGATAGTTCTCTGAAAACACCCACTCAATGTGCAATGGCCAAAAAAGTGAACAGAATGTTGGAAATCTTTAAGGAAGGGATTGATAAAAAGACAAAAAATATCTAGTTGCCTCTGTATAAATCCATGTTTCACCCCTATCTTGAATACTGCGTGCATATGTGGTCACCCCATTTCGCAAAAGATATATTGGAAAATAAAAAAGTTCAGAAAGGTACAACAAAAATAATAAGGGATTTGGAATGGCTGCCATATGAGAAGAGACTAATAAGACTGAGAATTTTCAGTTTGGATAAAAGATGACTAAGGGCGATACACTAGAGCTCTATAAAATCATGACTGCTGTAGAGGAAGTAAATAAGGAAATGTTGTTTACTCCTTCCCATGACACAGGAACGAAGAGTCACCAAATTAAATTAGTAGGCAGCAGGTTTAAAACAAACAAAGGAAATATTTCTTCACATAGCACCTAGGGAACTCCTTGCCAGAGGATGTTGTGAAGGCCAAAACTATAACAGGGTTCAAAAAAGAACTAGCTAAGTTCATGGGGGGCAGGGACAAGATGGGCAGAGATAGTGTCCTTAGCTTCTTTTTGCCATAAACTGGAAATGGGCGACTGGGGCTGGATTACTTAATGATTATCTGCCCTGTTCATTCCCTCTGGGGCACCTTGCATTGGCCAATGTCAGAAGACAAGATACTGAGCTAGAAGGACTTTTGATATCACGCAGTATGGCCATTCTTATGACACTGCTTGGGAACTACTGCTTGAGACAACACAGCACTAAAAGCCGTGAGAAACTTGCAATTTTCATCTGGCATACAGCCTCTCCTCGAGTTACGAACGAGTTACGGACCAAACACTTGGCCGTAACTCAATCCGATCATAACTCGGACCCCACTGAGTTACACACAACCGCGCTGTTCATAAGCACAGGTCACGTTCGTAACTCAGAGACTGCCTTTACGACTGCTCCATGGGAGCTTTGGTCGTAAGTGCGAACGGTCGTAACTCGACCATTCGCAACTCGGGGAGCGGCTGTACTGTATTAACACTTCTAACTTTATATAACTTGACATAAAATAAAGTCAGTCCAAATTGTGCAAGCTATTAAAATCAGGAAGGTGGCAGCCTGACAGATCATTAATTATTATTCTGTGTAATGGAGAAACGTAGTGAAATCTCAACAACTTCAGCAGCAGGGTAAATAGCTAAGATGACAGAAGACAGGCTAGCTAAGCATCTCCTAGAAGGCAATTCTTTTGGCATCTGACCAAGATGACGATGTAGGGATAATATTGAGCACAACGTAAGCGTTCTTTAATGTGCATTACCATCAAAGGGGAAAACATGTCCTTGACAGAAAAAGGTGGGGAGAGCAGCAAAGGACCTCTATGGTCTATATAACCAGGGATACCCCCAAAGTAGTAGTAACAGAGAAAGCCCTCGCAGCAGGGCATAAGCTCAGGCTGCAAACTAAATGCAGTCTGTAACATTCAAAAACTGATGCAAGCCTAACACAGGGACCCACAAATCTGACAGTGTCATAGAATCGTAGATTGAAGGAACCTCGAGAGGTCATCAAGTCCAGTCCCCTGCACTCACAGCAGGACCAAGCACCATCTAGAGTTCTAGACCATCCCTGACAGGTGTCTGTCTAACCAGTTCTTAATCTCCAATGATGGAGTTTCCTAAAACTCCCTAGACAATTTACTCCAGTGTCTAACCACTTTCACAGTTAGGAAATTTTTTCTAATGTCCAACTTAAACCTCCCCTGCTTTTTCCTCTTCCCTCTTCTTGCACAAAAAACCCTCTTCCCCATCCACACACGCCTTTTTGCACAAGAGCTCTTGCACAAAAAGGCATTCTTCCTTGCAGAATGAGGATTATCAATTGCACAAAAACCCATCTGATCTTTCAATTTACTTGCACAAAAACATGCTTGAGGTGTGGATGCTCTGCAAGTTTTTGCGGAAAAACAACCGTTTTTCCACAAAAACTGTAGTGTAGGCATAGCCTGAGTCTTCTCTTTTCAAGTCTAAACGAATCCAGTTATGTCAATCTTCCCTCCTAGATCATGTTTTCTAGACCTTTAATCATTTGTTTTGCATTTCTCTGGACCTTCTCCAATTTCGCTGCATCTTTCATGAAACGTGGCACCCAGAACTGGACATAATGCCCCAGTTGAGGCCTAATCAGCACAGAGCAGAGCAGAAGAATGTCTTTGTGTGTTTTGCTCACAACACTCCTGTTAATGCATCCCAGAATCATGTTTGCTTTTTTTGCAATGGTGTTGCACTGTTGATTTATATTTAGCTTGTGGTCCACTATGACTCCATCCTAGGCAATCATTTCCCATTTTGTATGAGAGCAACTGATTGTTCCTTCCTTAGTAGGGATGTTAAAATGTTGAAAATTAACATGGGGGCAGTCAGCTCTCTGGGAGCTGGTGCGTACAGAGAGCTGGCTTAACCAGCTCCCCGTGCATACCGGTTCCTGCCTCCCCCCCTCTCAGGCAGCTTCAGAGGCAGCAGCATGGGAAGGGACAGATGGCAGATGTACTGGGAACCTGAATGTAACCGCATAGTACATGGTTACACTTTCACAACCCTATTCGTAAGTGGAGTATTTTGCATTTGTCTCAATTGAATTCATCCTATTTACCTCAGACCATTTATCCAGTTTGTCTAGATTATTTTGAATTATAACCCAATCCAGCAAAGCACTTGCAAACCCTTACCAGTTTGGTATCATCTGCAAACTTTATAAGTGTATTCTCTATGCCATTATCTAAATCATTGATGAAAATATTGAACAGAACTGGTCCCTACACTAATCCACTGCAAAACCCCACTCAGTATGCCCTGTCAACCATTGATAATACTATCTGGGAATGGTTATCCAACCAGTTATGCAACCAACTTAGGATGCATAGGATCCACCTTAGGAGCTCCATCTAAGTTGTATTTTCGTAGCTTTTTAATTAGAATGTCAGCAGGATTGTATCAAATGCTTTAATAAAGTCTAGATATACCACATCAATTTTTCCCCTTTATCCACAAGGCTTGTTATCCTGTCAAAGAAAGCTATCAAGTTGGTTTGACATGACTTGTTCTTGACAAATCCATACTGACTGTTACATATTTTATTATCTTCTAGATGTTTGCAAATGGATTCCTTAATTATTTGCTCCATTATCTTTCCTGGCGCAGAAGTTAAACTGATTGGTCTATAATTCCATGGCATACCCTTATTCCCTTTTTATAGATGGGCACTTTATTTGCCCTTTTCTAGTCTTTTGGAACCTCTCCTGTAGTCCATGAATTTTCAAAGATAATCGTTAATGGCACTGGTATCTCCTCAGTCAGCTCCTTGAGTAGTTTAGGATGCATTTTATGAGGTACTGGAGACTTGAAGACATCTAATTTAAGTAATTTTTAACTGTTCTTTGCCTATTTTAGCGACTGAACCCACACCTTTTCACAAGCATTTGCTATGTCAGGCATCAACCTTGGTTATGTTAGGGATCAACCTTATAGGTGAAAACCAAAACAAAGAAGTAATTAAGCACCTTTGCCTTTTCTAGGAATATAAAATCCCATTTAATCAGTTAACAGGTTAACATTTAACTGGTTAACCACTTAATTTCGATCCTGCGGGTGTGACAGGTCCAGCCAGGCTGGAATGGTCTCCCCTGCCCTCAGTGTGACATGATGGGCCCTAGCTGGTCCTCCTGCCCACCCAAGGCATGGTATGGCATGATGGGCCCAGCTGGACTGAAGCTGCCCCCTGCCTGTCTGCAGTGCAGTGGGCCCGACTGGGTTGGAGCAGCCCCCGCCTGCCCGTTCACCCACCCACAGCATGGTGTGGAGGGCCCAGTCAAGCTGGAGAGGCCCACCCATCCACCCCTTGGATGATTGACTGCTCCATCCCAGCCAGGCCCGCCATGCTGTGGGCTGCTCCAGACAGGCCAGTCAACTGGTTATATCCCTACCTATTTCCACATTTTCTGTTAGTTTTTTCCTCTTTTTGTAACGGGCTGATCCCGTCCCTGCTCTTCTTTGTGCTTCTAATATATTTGTAGAATGTTTTCTTGTTATCCTTTATGTCTCTAGCTAGTCTGAGTTCATTTTGTGCCCTTATATATTTGTGTTATGTGTTTATATTCATCCTTTATAACTTGACCCAGTTTCCAGTTTTTGTAAGACTCCTTTTGTTATTTTTAAATCCTTTAAGATCTCCAGGTTAAACCAGCATGGTCTCTTGCTGTACTTCCTATCTATTGTATACAGTGAGATAATTTGCTCTTGTGCCTTTACTAACCTCTCTTTGAAAAACAACCGTCTTCAATTATTTTTCCTCTTAGACTTGCTTCTCATGGGATCTTACCTACCAACTCCCTGCATTTGCTATAGCTGCCTTCTTGAAATCCACTGTCTTTTTTTCCTGTTCTCCCTACAATCATTCTTTAAAATCATGCACTCTGTCATTTCATGATCACTTTCACCCAAGCTGTCTTCTAGTCTCAAATTCTCAGCCAATTCCTCCCTATTTGTTAAAATCAAACCAGAACAGCCTTCCCCAGTAGCTTTCTCCACCTTCTGAAATAAAAAAAATGTCTTCAATACATTCCAAATACTTGTTGGATAATCTCTGCTCTGCTATGTTGTTTTCCTAACAGATCTCTAGATAATTGAAGTTTCCCAAAACCACCAAGTCCTGTGCTTTGGATAGCTTTGTTGGTTATTTAAAAAAAAAAAAGCCTCATCCTTTTTAAAGCTGGCTCCTGCTTCTACACTCCTCCTGCTGCCTCTGGTATAGAGGCAGCAGGGAGGGGATTGCAAGTAGTCGACTCGACTATTTTTTTTACATTGCTACATTACATCCCCTTCCCCATGGTGAGGGGAGGGTGGGCAGGGAGGCAAAGATGCAGCAGTACTGTAGATCTGCCTTTTAAATATAGTAAAAGGTACCTGGCTCTTGCTACATTTAAAATCCAGAGGCACAGAGTGGAACCCGGGCAGCTTTTACTACATTTAAAAGGCAGAGCTGCAGCAGTCCAGGCCTGGCTCATGCTGGGTACCAGACCTACCCTCGCTGCAGCTATGCACGCCCAGCACCTACTACATGTAAACTGCATAACCCAAGTGACCTTTTATCAACTAATCATGTACTCAACACACATTATATCGAGTACACAATTAGTCATTTACTCACTACTTAACATTCTTAATTCCCATCCCATTAGGAGGACCTTAGTTATCCAGTGTGGGTCATGAGGACAGCATATTTATGGTGCCCCCAGTTACGCCGGGAATCTCAGATTCACTGACCGCACCACAAGAGAACCATTGACCTGGCTCTCAACCAGCGGTACACATACTTCGGGGGAAGGGATGTGCAGATATCTTTCAGGGGTCCACCAGCTTACCTACATGTTTACCTGGTTTTACAACAGGCTACATAAAAAGCACCAGAAAAGTCACTCCAAACTAACGGTCGATGCAACTTATTTATACAGCGCACTGCAATATTTACAGCTCAACACATTTGACAATGCAGTGGAAGCAGGACAGTCAGCAACATTTCTGTGCCAGGTTTGTATTTTTGGCTGTGTCTAGACTGGCAAGTTTTTCCACAAAAGCAGAAAAACTCGCCAGCTGTCTACACTGGCAGCTGGAATTTCCGCAAGAGCACTGACCATCTCATGTAAGAAATCAGTGCTTCTTGCGGAAATACTATGCTGCTCCTGTTCGGGCAAAAGTCCCTTTTGTGCAAAAGGGCCAGTGTAGACAGCTCAGATTTGTTTTGCGCAAAAAAGCCCCGATGGCGAAAATGGCGATCAAGGCTTTTTTGCGCAAAAGC